AGGCCCGGCGAGGGCCCCGCAGGAGGCCGAACACGGCCAACAACCAGCCGCTCCAATGTTTGTCGGAGCGTCGGATCTCTGAGAATGGCTCACGTAGCTTAGTTGCAGCAGCCCGCACGCGATCGCAATCCGCAGTTCTCACTGCCGCCAGAGTTCGGAGGATGATGCTTTGAGGACTGCAGCTGTGTTTTTTCCATTCACGTAGCGCTATGTTGTAGCAGCGTGCGCGCTGCTGCTTTGTCTTCGCCCTCGGCAGCCATCGTGTCGATGGGGTTGTGCGCACTCCAGGTTGGTGTGCTAAGTCGGGGTGCGGAGTTGGGCCTGCCTTACAAACGGTGGCGCGAATCTTGGGCGTCGATCTTGAGCGTCTCGTGTTGGATGGGTGTGGCAGGAGGGTGGGCTGGAGGGAACTGGACAATCGTGCCAAGCTTGAGCTCCGAGTGGATATCATGAGCAGGCATCATGATGCGCGCCAAGGCTGTGCCTCGGACCGCTACGCCGCACGCTGCGCGCTGCTCGACGGCGTGGACGAGCTCAGTGAGGTGTTTTCAGGAGGGAAAAATCACAGACACAAGTCATCGTCGATTCCCTAGAAAATATGGGATCATGTGGGAAGGTGTGGGGAAGACGAAAATCAAAAAAATATGGAAAAGTATGGGGGATTCTGTTATGTACTTGTTATTTATGTGTATTTATTTGTGTGTCCTTGGGCCCCTTCATGTTTGCTGGGATGCAGGCGCTCCGCCAGAGGCCTCTCTGGCCACCGGCCAGGGCACGGCCTCCCGGAGTACGCCCGTCGCCACTGCGCCCACGAGGCTCGGCATTCAGCCCGGCGGCCCTGGAAGCACGCCGCGGAAGGCGTGGAGTTCCACGCCGACCGTCAGGGCCTCTCCATGTCCCCTCAGGGATATACGTTGTTCATTTCTAGTTCTTTGAAAGTTCTTTGATTTTTTGGGGGGCCAAGATCCTTTCATTTCTAATTGTTCTATCCTGGGCCTCTTCCTGGCCACTAGGGGGCCAGGAACAATTAGAAACGAACACAATTAGACATGAGCACGATTAGAAATGAATGACGTGTACCGTTCTCTTTTTGTCCCCTGGCGATGACGGGCGTGACCCTGGCGGGGGGGGGGAGGGCGCCGGCCGCCACGTTGCGATTCGCGCCGGCGCCGTCGGGGAGCGCCCGAGAGTGGCTCGTGCCCAGACGGCACCAGCGCGAATCGTGACGTGACCACGGGGGGGAAGGGGGGGCGGGGCCGATCACGAGCGTTGTCGCGGCGCCCTGAAGGCGGCCGCCTGCGAAAGCGCATCACCTCGCAGAGACTGTGTACGAAACAGGCGACGACGCAGGGCAGCACTGAGGCATGCCTTGACGCCTCGCGTATCCCCCCTAGCCTATCCCATAAACAATCGCTTGGCGACTTGCCCCGATCAGGGATGCGTAGCAGCATGCAGCCACGCTCTGGGAGCATCTTGGAGGCATCGTGGGGCCATCATGGGCCCCTCTTGGGGCAATGTTGGATGCCTTTTGGGTTTAGGGGTCTCTTGGGGCCCTCTTGGGGGCTTTGAGAGGCCTCTTGGGGCCATCTTGGAGGTCATCAAGCAAAGAGAAGCCGTTGCTTAGTTACGCCCGCCCCCGCGCCCCCCAAGCGTCGCCTCTTGGGGCGCTCTTGGGGCGCTCTTGGACCCCTCTTGTGCTGGGGACTCTCTTCGGCCATCTTGGAGCCATCTTGAAGCCTCAGACGCCGATCGGAAGCGAAAATACGAGCAGGCACAACACATCCATCTCTGTAGGTTTTTGAAGGGTTTTGGCTTCTCCGGGGTGTCTTTGAGAAGCTGCTTTGCCACTTGAAGCCGTCTTGGGCGGTCATGGGGCCTTTTGGGGTATCTTGGAAGCTATCTTGAGGCATCTTGGGCTATTCTGTGTTTTCTTGGATATCATCTTTGGCTATTTGGGGCTATCCTGGCCATCTTGGGCCATCTTGGACGCTCTAATCCCTTGCGAGACGACCCCTCCAGACCCAGGGAGAAGGGGTAGAGGGAGAGGTAAACCTCTCCCCCGAAGGGAAAACGAGGTTAGAATAACTATCTCGCTAAACCACCTACTCCCAGCGAGCCTTTGGGATACCGATCAGTTGTTGCGCCGACGGCACCTGGCGACGGTGACGACGACTTTGGCAGCTGCGGAGCAGGTGCCAGTTCACTACGCAGCTCTTGAGCGACGGGTGCCACTCTCACCAGTGTTTCCCTCCTTCGCTCCTTTCCTCTACTTCCTCCTCCTCCACCCCTGGTGGACTTGGTTTCCTCGAGTTTCCGTCCAGTCGCAGTTTCCCACCTCCTCGGAAGCAAACGCGGGCTTCAGAGGCTGTTGGCTGGACAGGGTGCCTTTGGGCGTTAGCTTTCAGCCCTCAGGCTGCTGCTGCTGAGTGCCGCGCTGGGGGGGGCCCCGCCTCGACTCGACTCCTCCACCTCTCCCTCTCCCGCCCCCTCCCCACCCCTACTCCCCTCGTGTCTCTGCTGGGCTGTCCCTTGCCCTCCAGCGGCGCCCACCCGCGCCCGCCAGTTCCTGAGCGGGGACGCCTCCACAGCCGAGGCAGCGACGCTGGGCCTCGAGTTCAAGGCCGCCGCCGGGGCCCCCGCGCCGCCCTTGTGCTCCCGCTGGAGGGCATCGGCCACGATGAGCTTTTGGGAGCCCGGGCCCCGTTCTGCCCCTTGGAGCAGTCGGCATCGCCCAGCTATCCTTCCACTACGTGTGCGTCGGCCTGCTGCCTGCCGCCCAGGGGTGTGTCCGTAGCTTCAGCGCGGCCCGCTGGCTACAGTCAGCCCGCACAGTAAGGATGAGCAACTTCCCAGGGTCATCCTTGCATCCTTCCCGTTCGGCCCCTTGTTGGCCGCTTTCGCAGGCCGCGCCTCGCTCGCCAAGTGCCGACATGGCCCTCCAAGGCCCTTGCATCCTTGTGGTGTGGCCTTAGTACGCGGGCCGGTTGTGCCCGAATGCGTGGTGCACTCGCCATCGCCGCTGGCCAGAAAAGGGCGCGCGTCGGCCCCGCAGGGGCGCGGCGCGGACGCTCGGAACTCTTATAGTCCAAGAGCCCAGGTGGGCGCTTCGGCGTGCTGTGGTCTCTGTGCATCATCTGTTCAAGTCGGGCGTGCGCCCCGAACATAAGCGCGCAGGTACCTTTCTGTCCTGCTGGGCCCCTCACGAGTCCACCGCTTTCGAGAAAGCCTCTCGGCTGTATCCAGCACGGCGTAGAGCCCCGAGGCTCATCGTGAGGGCCTTGGCGGAGGATGCCCACGAAGGCCTCTGGCATAACACCGAGACCCGCGGCGGCTATGCCGATATCGCTTCGGCCCCGTGGATTTTATTTTCGGGGGACGGAGGATTTTGGCGCAGTTCCCATAGCTGTATGTCATGTGGCTGCCGCTCCCCTTGCCGGTGCTGTCGCTGCTTCCGCTCCTGCTCTTGCTTCTGCACGTGACTCGCACTGCGCTGCGCGCGTTGCGACGCCCTCCTCCTCGCCATGCTTGTCCCTACTGTGAGTGTTCCTCCGTGCACAAACAAAAACCGTGCAGCCTGGCCCGATTTGGTAATTAGCACAGAGGTTTGTTGCAAACAGTAACGAACTGGCAGGTGGCCCTGCTACCACCCGTGCAAAATCAACGCGCCGTTTCTCCGAGTTTCCGGAAAGGCGGGGTGGTGATTGCAGTGTTGTTTTGTTGGTTTGTTGCTTCAGTATACACATGCATGTGCATATCTATAGTTCTATACCCACAGAAATGTATTAGACACCAGTGCGTGTGTGTACAAGAGTACAGAGGCGCTTCGCGCCATGCACCTTGGATTTTCAAGTTTCGCACACATGCGGAACGATACACATCGCGAGAGGGAGAGAGAAAGAGAGAGAGAGAGAGAGAAAGAGAAATCTAAGGAACAATCCATATATATATATATATATATATATGGGTGCACGCGCCCATTCCTTTTGTGACGGGAAAGGAGAGGGGGGGGCCCTGGGGGAAAGGTCCCAGCAAAAAAAAAGGCCCCCCTGAATCCAATGGCCCGTTTTTTTTGTCCTGGCCTTGGGGGGGAAAAAAAACACGGGACCAGTGGATTCAGGGGGTCAGTTTTTTTTTCTTCTTTTTCCTGGGATCTTTCCCCCAGGGCCCGGAGGGAGGGAGGAGAGAGGAGGATGAGCGGAATCGAAACCGCTGTAATTTACAATGCTTTTGGCTCCGGAGGTGGTCCTCATCGTCGCCCTCCTCCTTCTCCTGCTCCGCCTTCTCGTCTACCCTCGAACCACTTTCGGGTCTTAGGTCGGGCCTCTCGAACGCTCTCGGCGAGGCGCAGCTCCTCAAGAGCATTTCGACAGAATCTTGAACACCATACTTGTCATCGGCATCGTCATCAGCATCATCAGCGACAGCATGTCGAAGCTGACTGATGCAAGTCATCAGCATCGTCATCGACAGCATCTTGAAACGAATACTTGTCATCAGCATCGTCACCGACAGCATTTCGGGAGTAATACTCGTCATCGGCATCGTCATCGATATCATCTTCAGGCTGATGCATGTCATCAGCATCGTCATCGAAAGCATCTTGAGACGCATGCAAGTCATCAGCATCGTCATCGATAGCATCTTGAAACGAATACTTGTCATCAGCATCGTCACCGACAGCATTTCGAGAGTAATACTCGTCATCAGCATCGTCACCGACAGCATTTCGAGAGTATGTGATGCACAGAAAACTACAACAGCGCATATAGCACCAACATTATCTTACGATGTTTGAGCTGACCTTGAGCTAATGTTGGGGAAGAAGAATATCCAGACGAGCTCATGCAGCGAGCGGGCGTGAACTGAAAATGCAACAACAATGACTTGTCACATTTCTCTCTCTCTATCTCTCTCTCTCTCTCTCTCTCTCTCGCTGTCTCTCTTACCGAGCGCATTTCCAGCCGACCCGCCATTGCCGTGCCGCCGCATCAGCTCGAGACAGGGCTTCCTCGGAGCGTTCAGGGCCTGAGGTCGTAACAATGGGGCGGCTTGCGCGCGCGCCAGGGCTCGTCGGCGCCCCCCCGCCCACGTTGCCATTCAATCGATGGCAGCGGGCCGTCCGCGAGGAGTGGTTCGAAACTCAGGCTGCCTTCCTCGCCAACGTTGTCTACGCCAAGGTTGACTTCCCCGAGACGCTGACGGACACCGTGGAGGCGCGGGCCATGGGCATCTTTGCGCACTACGGCTTGGTCGATGTCGTGAAGAAGTGCCCCGTGTGCGACGCTCCCGCGGCGCTGGAGGAAAGCTGGCGCTCCGACAACGGCAAGGTTCGCTTCAAGTGGGCGTGCTCGTCCCATGGCCACAAGCACTACCACGCGGCAGTCGTCGGTGTCGGCATGCTCAAGAAAGTGGAAGTGGGGTCGTGGATGACGTTCCTGAACTTCATCGCGCTTCTGCGTGCTGGCACCCCCCTGCGTAAGATGTGCGCGGGGCTGCGGGCCGCTTGGGGCAACTGCAGTGACAAGAACTTCCGCAGGTGGAAGGACACGTACCAGGGGGAGCTGAAGAGGGCCAGCGAGAAGTTAGACTTGATGAAGATCGGCGGCCCGAGCCACGTGGTCGTCATGGACGAGACGGTCGTGGGCGTCCACCCCGACGATGGCTTCGAGTCTTTCACCCACAAGGGAATTCGCAAAGGGGTTCCCCGAGTCCGTTCTGGCACACGGTCGCGGCCCAAGGTCCGCGCGCGCATTGCCAAGACGCTACCCGCGCGGACTATCTGGAAGGGCGACAAACCGATGAAGGGTGCGGGGGTAATCAGAAGCAAGAAGAACGACGTCACGAGACCCCCGCTGCCATGAAGGTGAAGAAGGCGGTCATGAAGCGGCCAGCCGCGCGCAGGGGATTGCGGGGCACGGGTGCAGATCCCCGCTCCAACGGCCGCTGGTTGTGGGCAGCAGTGTCCGTCGGCAAGGGGGCGGAGAAGTGGACGCACGGCAACGGGAAGAAGCGCTTCGCGTGGCGATTCCTTCCACCCCGCTACAACGCGGAGAGGAGCAAGTCTCGCGGCTTCGAGGAGATCCGCAAGACCATCGAGCAGCACGTTGCGAAGAAAAGCATATTGGTGTTCGATGGCTGCCCTAGCTCGCTGGCGGCTGCCGAGGACTTGGGTTTCAGACGCGCGCCCCCCGTGGTCCACGAGGTCGGGTGGCGCGACGTTGAGACGGGGTGGCACTCCAATGACATTGAGAGCGAGAACAACCGCTTGACGCATTGGTCGCGCGTCCGATACAGCGTCCTCGAAATCTCCGAGCTGGACATGTACGAGTACGCGTGCTACGTGAACGCTGGGGACAAGATGGCGGACGTGATGCTGGGGTTAGCCGTGGCAGGCGGGGGCTTGGGCCGCGCGCAAGTGATTTGACTAGGCGTCGGCAGGTCAGTCTGGCGGGGGGGGGGGCGCCTGAGTGGCTCGCGCTTGCTCTGGCTGAGTGCGCGGGCATCTAAAGACCACGCGCGTGGTAGTTTTGCTTTGCATGGTAGATGCTCAGTCAGATGGGCAGATGTGCGTGCGCGGAGACACGCGCACATGCTTTCAGATTTATATGAAATTCCCTACACAGATGCTCTGTGCGAGGGGGCGTTACATTCAAAGTGATTCGTTCAGATAGTGACGTTGACAAAAAACAGGGGCGCCGATATGCCCGCGCGCCCTGCCCATATATATACATATATATATATATATATATATAGGTGCACGTAAATGTCGTATGTATGTCTTTGGAGGTCCACATGTGCACACACATATACATATATACACAAAGGGAAAGAGAGGTCAAAAGAGATGGAGAGAGGAAGGCACAGCGACGGTGAAGGACGGGAGACACACATATTCGACGACGTGTTTTTTGCAATCCGCGGCCCTTGCGTTCCCGTAGTCATTCCGATGGCCCCACAAAGGGCTCCCAGATGCCGAAGTGAAGAGACGATGCCTGGATTGAACGGACCATTCCGCGAGATTTCGTGACGACGGTAACCACCACGACGACGATGACGATGACGAAGACGACGACGACGACCACGAGGACGACGACGGTGGCAGCGGCGGCGGTGGTGGCGGCGGCCGACACCATCGCGCTGCGCTGGGCAGTGGCCGCCGCCGCCGCCTCGGGGGCAACCCGAGGCGCTGTCGCAGTGCAGCGGGTCGCCAGAGTACGCGGACGCGGTGGCCGGGGCTGTGGCCGGGATGCTCCGTAGGATGTGCGTCTTCTTCGAGCGGCGATTAACGTATCGGTATCCGCGCCCTCGCGTCTGGATTCTAGGGCGCGATGCCGCGGACACGCGGTCGCACGGGTACTTTCCGCGCGGGGCATCTGCAAACAAAACGGCCCGTTCCGCGGGCTCGCGACCCAGGGGCCGTGCCCGCGAAGCCGCGGATACGGATGTGTTTTTCGCGCGCGGGTCTTCTTTCTCCTCCTCCCCATATTCCCGATGCTTTGATTGTCGCTGCTTCTTTTGGTGTCGTTTGGAATCCAGGTGCTTTTCGAGAGCCTGCTATCGGGCCCCAGACCATCACAATCGGATCTGGGTGGGACGCGCAAGTGCCCCCTGGGAAAGGTGGCGGGACCTCCCCAAAACCGCGCATGGACAGACGTCATATCGGAGGACGTCTGGGTCGCTCTCCTCGCTGACTCACTGCCCCTTCCTGGCTGGGCCTCCGAGCTTCCAGGGCGTTTCCTCGTGGCGGCGCGGCCTGTGAGCACGGCTCCGTCACATCCGGCAAGCCTGGGCGACGGGGGCTCCCAGAACAGCTCATCGCGCCAACATCGCAGATGCGGATTTCGTTCGGAGAACGAAAGGATGCTGGGCCCAGAGCGTCCTGGAGAATTTCGTTTCGGATTTCGGGGTGAATGTCGTGCGGATTTGTTGTCCAGGAACGAAGACTAGACACACATCCACGCGAAGTTCGCTCCGTTTTCCACTCGCCGTTTCGGGGTCTTGCGTCGACAGAAGTCCACGCAAAATCCGCTGCAGCACGTCTGCAAGGTCGGTGCAGTGAAGAACAGCTGCTGGTGGGGTGATCGCGCTGCACAAGGAGCCGCTGCAGGGCTCATTCTTTCGGCCCGCTTCGATATCGAGGCTGGCCCTTCGGCGATCCTTGGGCGGCCCGACGCCTGCACGGCGCTGCTCTGCATCCTGGCGCAGCCGGCCCGATGCGATTCCAGCTCTCCTCCTCCTCCTCCTCCTCCTTTTCTCCTCCTCCTCCTCCTCCTCGTCCTCCTCCTCCTCCTCCTCCTCCTCCTCCTCCTCCTCCTCCTCCTCCTCCCCCTTCTCCTCCTCCTCCCCCTCGCCCTTCTCCCCCTTGGTCCCGGTTTTCCGATTCGTTGCCGACTGATCTTGCCATGACAGCTTAAAAGCCATGCCAGAGCCAATGCGCTGTAGCAAGGGACAGCTCGGGTTTGGAACGTGGTCGCGGTTCCTCAGGTACTTCCATGGTTAGTGCATCTGGCGCTTCTTGTGCATCCAGGAGCGTTTGGGGCCAAAAGGGGGGCTTCGTTCCTTAACTGGCATTCCTGCTGTCCAGATGCAACTCCTGGGAGGTTAATTCAGCATTGGCGCTAGTATATCCGTTACCGAAAACGGGCAGAATCTGGTTCAATTGCGTTGATTTCCGTTTCGTTCCGTTCAATACGGCTATATTTGGCTGACTCGAGCTCAATCTTGGGCTGAATCTAGGCTAATATGGCCTATTGGCCCCGTACTCGGGCTCAGAATCCATCAATCGTTTTCACGAATTTCCCCCCGCAGGAGTTGCCTCCTACTTTATGGTAGTGGCTTGACTGTACAAGCCATGCTTTTCCTGGTGCCCTACCGATAGCAGCCGAAAAAGTACCTGACCTTTCCCGACCTGCCGATTGGATGGTGGCTGATCCTGCGCGTGGAGGCCCGGATGAAGCTGGTGAGCATTGCGGATTGCAGTCCAACTGCCACCGCAAGGAGCACCGCACTCAGGACCCCGACCCGGGCGTCGCCGAGGCACCACGACGAGCGCTTCTGCCCAGCTCCGGGCCCTGCGGCTCCCTGCGGCCACCCTCCCCCGCAGAAATCGTGGGGGGTAGGGGTAGGGTTCGCATGTGGCCTCCCTAGCAGGGCCTCGCCCCCCCGAGATCCAGGCGGTCGCCACGACACCTCACGGGGTCGCCCCCGCCCGCCCGACTCTGGCGCGGCCCCGCGCCCCACCCCTCCGCCGCCCAGATGGCGCGCCCGGCGCCTGCCCCCGCTGCCCCGCCCTGATGGGCCCCTTTTCCACCACCTTTGCCACAGGCAGGACGGGGGAGACGGGAGGATGGGGAGCTCCTCCTCCTCCTCCTCCTCCTCCTCCTCCTCCTCCTCCTCCTCCTCCTCTTCCCCCCTCCACAATTACTCAATATGAATACTACTCTCCCCCTTCCCCCGATGGCGGCCTGAAAGTAGTCGACCCCCCCCGCGTATTGTTTTTTACACAGGATTCCCAGGAGTTGGGTTTTCGCCTGCGTTTTTTTCAAAATGCTGCTCTCGCTGAGGCGCCAGCCTCATTTCTGCTCCCGAATCGTTCCGAATCGTGCTCCCGCTGCAGCGTGGGCCTCATTTTCGGATCGGTGTTTGGCCTCCGTCGTTCAGGATGGCGTTCTCGCCCCAGCGCGGGCCTCTTTTCTCGCGCGCCCATCCGCCCGCCACCACCGCGCCGCACCACACCACCACCACCACATCACCACCACCATCACCACCACACCACCACCACCACCACCACCACCACCATCACCACACCGTTACCACACACCCACCACCACCACCACCACCACCACCACCACCACCACCACCACCACCACCACCACCACCACCACCACCACCAGCACCACCACCACCAGCAGCAGCAGCAGCAGCACCACCACCACCACCACCACGCACACACGCACGCACGCACGCACGCGCACCACCACCCACCACCCACTACGCACGCGCGCGCGCGGAGCCACAGGTCCGCTACGATACGCGTCCGCGGATAGAGAAAATCAGCGCCATGGTAAGGGATGGGAGGGGGGGGTATGACGTCAGATATGACGCGAGCGCACCTAGCTTGTCCCCCTCCCCCCCCTCTCCTCCCGTCCTCCACCTCCTCCTCCTCCTCCTCCTCCTCCCCGTCCTCCACCTCCTCCTCTTCCTCCTCCTCCTCCTCCTCCTCCTCATCCTCCCCGTCCTCCACCTCCTCCTCCTCCTCCTCCTCCTCCTTCTCCTCCTCCTCCTCCTACCTCCTTCTCCTCCTCCTCCACCACCTCCTCTGATGATGATAGACATGTGGAAGTGCTTCGATACCGTGCTGGTGGCAGAGCTGATTTCGGAGGCAAGGGCGGTGAAGTATCCGCTCAGGTTGCTATGGCAGTTGGTCGCGTATTATGCGATGCTACGCGCGGTGAAGGCGTACGGCAGCTAGAGCGACATGATCGTGGTGAGGCAGGGTATTCTACCAGGCTGCACTCACGCTACTACGCTTTTGACGGTGTTGATGTTGAGAACCCTGCAGAGGGTAAAGATGGTGCATCCTACGATACATCCGCGAGCTCTGGTTCATGATGCCACATTGCAATGGTTTGGGGACGAGATTCTTGCTTCTCGGGAGTTGGCGCTTGCTACCAGGCGCTTTGTGGTGGAGGCTAGAGAGCTGGGGCTGATTGTCCAGCCAACCAAGTCTTCGTTCACGGCCACTACGAATGCGGGTCGGATCGCTTTTGAGCGTTGGGCTGGCGTGTTGAAGATCAAGCACAATAAGTGCATCAGGAACCTCGGACATGACATGCATGGTGGTCGTGTTCACAGGCCTGTGGCGAAGGCACGTATCGCAAAATTGAAGCCTAGGGTGCCACGGGTGATGTTGTTGAAGAAAGCTGGGGGGCAGGTGCACAAATTATGGAAATCTGGATTATTGAGCGCGTCAGCGCACGGGGCATCTGTGTCTGGCGTGCCTGATTCTGATCTGAAGAAGCTGAGGCAGACCGCGGCCATCCTGGCTGGAGTCTCTTCTGGTGGCATCAGTCACACGTTGTACCTGTCTACCCAGGGCGTGCGCTTCTATGACCCTATCTACGAAGCGACGGTGGCCATCTGCTACATGTACAGCAGCTTCCTGTGGGACCAGCGTGTCGAGCTTGGGCGGCTTGAGTCGGCATGGAGACCTTTGCAGGCCAAATGGGACACAGGATCATGCAGCTGGCTGGGAGAGAGAGGGCCGCTGGCGGCCACATGGTTATCTCTACTGCGTATTGGATGGGAGATGAGGAGCAGCACGATGGTGGTGTGTGATGAAGGCAATGCGATTTCATTGATGCGTACGTGTCCCGCTGGGTTTCGTGAGCTATTGCGTGAAGGTGTTTCTCGCTGGCAATCCAGGCAGATCCTCTCGCACCTACCTGAGCACTTGGAGGGAGGCGAAGAGGTATGGATGCGTGCTTTACCATTGATCGTTGGTGGTT